ATCAGGGAAAGTTGGAGAGGACGTCTCGACTCGTCGAGTCACCTTTGCACTCGACGAGTCCGGTCCAGTTGACCGTTGGCCAGAGTTGACCTGCATATAATTTCTTAGGGTCAGTTGTCTTGAATGATAAGAGTATTAATAAGGGTATATGGTATTATAGGGAGTCTGCAGATCGGCGGATCGAGTGCGAGTGATTTCAAGAGTTGATAGTTTTCATTACCACGAGGTGAGTCTTCTCACTATACTGTACCCGGAAGGGTTTGACTGTGTGACCGGAAGGTCGGATATGATTTGTGTTATACGTGCTATAAATGGTAAGGTATTTGCTATGTGTGTTATGTGTGTTATACGGGCCGGAAGGCAATATGTTATGTGACTGAAAGGTCGGATATGATATATGATATATGTGCTATATGTGTTAAGATTAATGTATAAATTGTGTGTATGTTTATGGGCCGGAAGGCAATATGTTATGGGCCGGAAGGCAATATGTTATGGGCCGGAAGGCATTATGTTATGGGCCGGAAGGCAATATGTTATGGGCCGGAAGGCGATTATCTCAAGGCCTGGAAAGGCGTATATGCGTAAGTAGTATACTGGGGAACTCACTAAGCATTTATGCTTACAAGTTGTTATGTATGTGTTTCAGGTACTAGCGAGGACCGTGGGAAGGCGCCGGCATGATGCATACACACTGCTGCTATTTGAGATCTTGGGGATTTTATATATGTATTTGATATGAAACATGGAATAAATACTATTGGTTGAATGAAATCACTTTATTTTAAAATGAAAAATTTATTTGAAAATTTGCGTTGTTACAGCTTAAGAACCATCGATTGTCTGTATTGTTGTAAATGACCTAACTAAGTACTCGTAGAAGGAACTAGTAGGAGTCATTTTATTATCATTCATTACATAAAAAAATATAGGATTTTCTGAGAAACACAACAAGTTTTACAAAGAACAAAGAACTTGTTTTCTAAACAAAACGCTTATGAACTCACCAACTTTAACGTTGACACTCTTTCAAAACCACTTGTATTCTCAGGACACTAGTAGACAGTACACGCATGGGTTCTTAAAAGACGGAGCATAGTAGCTACAAGTCTTTACGTTGTTATTTATTTTTGGAGTCAGTCATATATGATTCGAATACAATCTAAATATTTTAATATCAATACAATGGTTGTTGTTGCTTTGATTACTATTATTCAATTGTTGTGATACTATACATGACGTCCTCCGCCCCCGAATGTTTTCGCCATTCCGGTTTGGGGGTGTGACACATGAGGTTGACCTAAACATAATATTTCCACTTAGGTACCTACACTCTATACATATATAATAAATAGAAGATACACGACTAATACACCCCCACAGTCGAAAGTATAGGAGGTCTGATGTTGAGACTGGATCTGAAATCTTCAAACGGTATGCGTGGAAGCCCTTTGGTGAAAATATATGCAATCTGAAAACGTGAGGGCTCATGTAAAATGCAAACTTCACCCCAGGAAACTTTTCCCGCACGAAGTGAATATCAATTTCTATGTGCTTCGTGTGTTGATGCTGGACTGGGTTGGTGGAGAGATAAATTGCACTGACATTGTCGCAATACACAAGTGTCGCTTTAGGCGGGGTGTGGAATAGCTCGTATAGCAGGTTATGCATCCAGCACGTCTCGGAGACAACATTGGCGACTCCTTGGTACTTGGCTTCAGCACTAGATCTCAAGATTGTGGTTTGACACTTAGAGAACCAGGAAAGTAAGTTATTACCCATGAAGATGCAGCAACCGGAGGTTGAACGATGGGTACCCTGACATCCTGCCCAATCGATTCCATAGATCAGGATCCATTAGTTTGGGATTTGTTGGTTTATCAGCCCCAGCTTTATCAGTGGTGGAGGAGGAGATGACTTCATCTTTGGGTTTAATATGATCAATGAACTGGAATACAATGGATTCTAAACAACTCAACCCATGAAGTATACTAAGCGTTTTCCATCTCGAGAGTAATCGAAATAAAATTCCAGATATTAGTGATCATGAGAGGCGAATGTAATTTTTCTGCCAAAGGGAGAAGGAACGAAAGAAAATAGAAGGAGATAGAGACTGTGAAGGAATGACGACTAGTAGTGTTAGGTTTTCAGAGAGGGAGCTCTGATACCATAATATAATACATAATATAATGCAAAATATTCTCCTTCACTTTATTGATCCTGCCGTGAGGTATATATAATGTACATGAGACTGACCTAAACACAATATTTACACTTAGGTTCCTACACTTTATACATATATAATAAACAGAAGATACATGACTAATAGTTCCCCTTAAGTTCAACACTCTTACTTATCAAAATTATACTATACTCGATCAGGTTCATTGTTTGTAAGGTTTGGTTTAGATGCGATAGATTATGAATTATAAATAAAAACTAAGTGCATTCTTCATCCCATCAAACTAGTTTCAACATTTTTATCGAGTTGTTTAATTCGTATGATAATAAAATGTATAATGTAATTTTTCAACCGTGTCATTTAGGCAAACATGTTAGACTTCCTTTATCTGAGTTTGTCGTCAATTTTCTTTTTGAATTTGTTCACTCTGATGTATAGACTTCTCCAATTCAAAATCACAGTGGGATAAAATATTATGTCGTTTATCTAAATCAATTTTATCATTTTGTATAGGTTTATCATCTTTGATTAAAAACCGATGTTTTTCCAAGTTCCTTCATTTTCATGCTTAAGTAAAAAATCAATTAAAATGTGATATTCAAACCTTTCAACGTGAAGAAAACCTAAGTACCACCCTCATTTGCATAGTCTATGTGATACTAATAGGATCCACATGAGATTTTAGTTAGATGATTTTAGATGCTTAGACTTCACTTCAAAAAATATCATAAATCTCTCGTCATGTTTTCAATAGTTTCCCTTGACACCAAACTCTTATGAAGAACAGAAATTAGGGTTTAATGAATCAACAAAAACACAGAGGAGATTGTAAGGAAGACAAAGATGAAATTGAACTAATTGATTAAACAATAACACAATCTCCTGATAGGATGATTGCCCAGGGATGAATCCCTCTCTCAAAGGCCTAGCCAATGAGCCAATCTCACTCTAGAGACTAACACCGCTCTAAGATATTTCTCCTTGTCTAACAATGCAATCCTACCCTCTATTTATTAGCAGACCTCTAACAAACTCTATTTAGGAATTACCCTTTTACCCCTTTAAGTATTTAACTATCTAATTCCTATCACTACTCCTCCCTTCAACAAAGTCTTGACCTCAAGACTTGCTGTCAAGAAGATCTTATGATGCACCAGAACCCAAAACCAATACTTGCAGATGAATGGAACACTCCTTGATACACAACACGCGCCCCTGATTTGTCATTGCCGATGTTTCCTCCCTTGTAGCCTCTTCAGTCGGTCGCCCTTTCCACCAAGTTAACCACCAGTCAACGTGTTCCCTTAGATGAATGATCAAACAGGAAACAAGAAAAATGATGGGAATCCTCCAATCCGAAGCACTCAATTCCCGTTTTGATCTCAAAACCGATCCTGCTTTGACTCGTTCTGTCAAGAAGATCTTATGATGCACCAGAACCCAGACCAATACTTGCAGATGAATGGAACACTCCTTGATACACAACACGCGCCCCTGATTTGTCATTATCGATGTTTCCTCCCTTGTAGCCTCTTCAGTCGGTCGCCCTTTCCACCAAGTTAACCACCAGTCAACGTGTTCCCTTAGATGAATTTTGGTAATCTATCTTGATCTTCTTCTCCACCGAAGGCAATCCCATTGATGCAACAGAAACGACACCGGAAGTACGATGAGATTGGAAACCGCTAACCATGCCGGACGTATCCCTAGAAGCATCATCAACCACCGACGCTAGTAATTTCCCATTCGGATCGGAAACAATGCTAATATCTGAGAAGAACTCTGGATCCTGTTGCTTCATCCAATCCAACATTACTTCACGAAAGGCAGCCTCTTCTGCCCTTTCTGAGGCCATAGTGGTCTGGATTGAGGCCATAGCGGTGCTGATTTCCTCAATGTCTTCATGAATCCTTGTTATTTGCTTATCATGATGATCCAGTCGCTGAGAGACAGATCTAGTGTTCACCACTAGTGACACCATCATTACTCAACTCCGGCAGGTCAAGGCAGGTCGGGCCAATGATGAAGAACAGAAATTAGGGTTTAATGAATCAACAAAAACACAGAGGAGATTGTAAGGAAGACGAAGATGAAATTGAACTAATTGATTAAACAATAACACAATCTCCTGATAGGATGATTGCCCAGGGGTGAATCCCTCTCTCAAAGGCCTAGCCAATGAGCCAATCTCACTCTAGAGACTAACACCGCTCTAAGATATTTCTCCTTGTCTAACAATGCAATCCTACCCTCTATTTATTAGCAGACCTCTAACAAACTCTATTTAGGAACTACCCTTTTACCCCTTTAAGTATTTAACTATCTAATTCCTATCAAACTCACATCTCCTACACTTTTTTGGATGAACTATCCGACACCTTCCTCAAATCCAAACAATTCCTATCATCTTCCAACCTCACCATAACCCTTACAAATGAAAACTTGTCTCCTAACTCCCCTTCCACCACCCGTTCACCTCCTCCCACGCAAACTTTGGCTTGTTGATGTTCTTGACAAAGGACCGCCTACTCATCACTTCATTTTTCAATCTAAGTTGGAAGCTCTTTTTGCCGTTGAGCTAGATGGGGGATGTTAAGCTATATCACAAGCGGAAGTTAGTGGTTAATTAGTTACGGATTCACGGGTCACGGCTGTTTTTGTATATGTGAGTCATCGTGATGTAGTCTAGTACATGACTATGTGGATTATAGTATGTATATATACATTTCCCACACTATTGTATCATTCATTTTACAAAGCAAAAATGCTTTAACTATACATAAATTAATAATTCATAATAAATATTCCCATCCAAATCCTATTTGGTCCATGAACATATACAAGACAAGCATTCAAATCTTCTCTTACCTTTGAATTTCATTTTCATAGAACTATATGGTTCATGCAAAACTCGGTCTGCATTGTCACTAGCTCTTTCCATTACAGATTTCGTCATGAGCTGGTCAAGCATATCCAAAACACGGCTCATCTTTGGTCGTACCTTTATGTTTTTGCGCAAGCAACTATTGGCTATAATCGACAGTCTTTTTGCTTCACGTAAACCAAAATCGTCAATCTCAATCCTAGAGTCAACTATTTGGCAAAATTTGTCATCCGATAAGTAAGGTTTCACCCAGTCCAAGAGCTTTTGCTCGTTCATGGGGCGATGAGGATCTAATGGAGGCCAACCTGTGATAAGCACATACAACAAGACTCCATAGCTCCATACGTTGCTCTTTGTTGTTAGATATCCCGTCTTCAGATATTCAGGAGCTGCATACCCTGATACATAGGTCTGTCCTTCTGAAGTACTTAATGATGTGTTGCCAAAGTTTAAAAGCTTAGCATGCCATTCTTTATCTAGAAGAATGTTAGAGGGTGTGAAATCTCTGAAGATAACCTGCACCATATGTTTAACGTTTAGCATGATAAATAAAAAAAAACTGAAGCAAAAATAAGGATATTGTCGAATTGAATACCGAGTAGTCCATTCCTTCATGTAGGTATGCCAATCCACATGCAGTATCACGTGCTACACGCAATCTTCTGGCCCATGAGATGGGTGCATCTGACTTAGCTGATAAATGATCATGAAAGCTTCCATTAGACATATATTCATGAACTATAAGCTCAAGGGTTCCATTTCTTTCAACCTCATCACAGTAACCAATTAGCTTGACGAGGTTTGGATGCTCAATCTTCCAAGTTCTTGACTTCAGTCGCTAACTGCTTGTCACCCTGT